GATTTGTTGGAAATAATTTTTTAAAAAATTTCCTATATTATTTTTTATAATATAAAAAATATTATGTATGAGTTTACTGCCTGCATGTATGTAAGTGCACCTGTGTCGTGCAATGCCCACAGAGGTCAGAGGAAGGTATTAATTTCCCTTGAAACTGGAATTATGGGTGGTTGTCAGCTGCCATGTGGGTGCTAGGAATCGAACCGGGGTCCTCTGCAAGAACAGCCGGTGCTCTTAACTTCTAAGCTGTCTCTTCAGCCCCTGAAACAGCTGTGAGGTGACAAACTTCATCTGATAAAGAGAACATGCACCAAGGCTGGTGTGCCACCTAAGAACCCAGTGAGACACCAGTGTTCTTGCTGTCAAGACACACGCAAAGCCTGTGCAGAGGCCACAGAAGCCAAAGCTCTGCTTGGGAACAGAATATTTCATCAATTATTTATTTTATTTAATTAAACTATTAGCCTCAAAGTAAAGCATTTCCCATTTTTGGTGTTTTTGTTTTGTTTGCCTGAGGCAGAGTCTCCCTGTAGCCCCAGCTGGCTTGGAACTATGTAGACCAGGCTGGCCTCGATCTCACGGAGATCCGCCTGCCTCCCGAGTGCTGGGATTAAAAGCAGGTGTCATCAGCCTTAGTCCTACTTATTTATTTCTGAGACAGGTTCAGTTCTCACTGTGTAACCCTGGCTGATCTGGAACTCGCTCTGTAGACCTTACCTCAAACTCACAGAGATCCACTTGCTTCTGCCTTGTTGGGATTAAAGGTGTGCACTACTACACCCAGCCTCAGATGGCAATTATTTTGGGGGGATGGGGGGGTCTTTTTGAGGCAGGGCCTCCCTGTAGCCCCAGCTGGCCTGGAACTCACTATGTAGCCCAGGCTGGCCTTGAACTCACAGAGATCCACATGCTTCTGCCTCCCAAGTGCTAGGATTAAAGGCATGTACCACCAGGCTCGGCTTTCAGATGGCAATTTTTATTGTGTGTTTTATCAACTTTTTAGTCATTTAAAGATTTTTTGTGGGGGAGGGGCAATTTTCCAAGTAAAACATCAACTCTAATATTCAAAAATTATATTCCATCCTTAGGTGCCCCGAATCAAACATTCGCATGGTTACATTCCTGTGGTTATAGCCAGAACTTTTAAAGCTGCTCAAAGTTCACTTAGCACATTAGGAAAATCTAATAAATTGGTCTCTAAGAAAGTTTACCATGCAGTACATCAGCTTCTACTGCATGGACCTAAGACCCACTGAACTTGGTAGCTGACGGGGCTCCTTCCATTTCCCTCTCAGAGCAGCTCGGCTCTCGTCTCCAAGCCTATCAACGCTGGTTTCGAGAATAGGATCTGGTGCCACCTCTACTCGAGGTCCCTCTTCATACCTGGCCCTGTCATTTCCTCTTCCTTTGTGCCACCCCATCCCCTACTCACCTGCCTCCCATTAAGCCTCCCAATTCCTGTTTCCCCATTCCCATTTGGTATGTATCACGGGTCAGTGACATCTCTGTCCTCATGGGTGCAACAGGGAACTCCACAAAGGCTATGGCTGAAGGATGCCTGGCAGGGGAGTCAAACAGGGAACCAATGCTTTCAAGGCCTGGGTCAGCTATGCAGGGTGCTTTCTGATATTTGAGGGGTGGGTGGGGAGACTCTCCCTAGAGCTAGAGGAAATGGGAGGCACCTCGCTACATGTGTATGTAATCATGAATACTGACTGTCAACTGGACAGGATCTAGGCTCACTTAGGAGACAAGTCTCTGGGATGCCCACTAGGGATTATCTTGATGAGGTCAACTGAGACAGGAAGACCCACCTTAATGTGGGCAGCGCCGTTCCCTGGGCGGGGACCCTGCACTGACTACAAAGGAGGAAGCAAGCTGAGCATCAGCACTTCCTGACATGGAGTCAGTGTGCGACCAGCTGCCCTGAGTTCCTGCCACCACCTTTCCCTGCCACAATGGTTTACCCTGAGAGCCAAAAGTCGACCCTCTTTCCTTGAATTGCTTTTTGTCAGTGTTTTATCATAGAAATGAGAAAACCAACTAACATATTAGGCTACTAAAGATCAATTTACAGAGTACCATGAACACACAATACACATTCTTATCTCCGTGAAAGGAATGATGAAGGACTGCCAACCGCCCACGTCCACACACATTTTCTTTAGATGAATGAAAGGTAGAGTTAGAAAACAATTTGTCTTTGTTTGGATTCTAATTTGGTTGAAGAGCACCCCCTTCACATCCCCTGTGCTGTCCGTTCTCGACTATAGTCCTTCACATGCTGTCCTTTGTGATGTTCCTGTCTGGATTAGAGACCACCCTCCATGTGCTGAGCCCAATGCTGTCCCTATCTAGACTCAAATCACCCACATGCTGCTGTAAATTAATCACATGAAGATGAGACAAATCCAACTCAGAAATGACAAGCAGAGCTATGGCCTCTCTGGTTTCCTGCTTCTCCCTACCGAGCTCATCATGAAGTCGCTCATGTCTTCAGCAGGGACTCGATTCACCAGTTCTGCACCTTCCAGCAGTGCAGAATCTGATCTGGTCCAACACTGGGATCTAACAAGACGAAGGTACCAGTCCTGGGAGGAAGAAGCAGAAACAGGGGAGGTGACTGGGTACTCAGGTTTCTTCCTTGGGCCGTGACTGTGGCTTGGTGACACTGGGCCCATGGCTGGCTGTGTAGGCAGTAGACACACCCTGGGTTTACAGCTCACCAAATGCAAGTCTTCCTTGGGCTGTTCCCTGCCTGGATGCCCTTTTCCTTCCTTCCCTATGGCACTCTCAGCAATCCTTCCAAACGCTGCAAAGTTCTGAGAGTTGGCAACTCCTCCTCTGTCTGTTCCCTGGACACTGGACCATCTACACGCCACTGAGGTGTTTGCCTCCCCCACCTCCCCCAGCAGCCAAGGCTGAAGAGGTGCGTGATAATCAGAGCACGGAGACAAGCATGGGACAGACCCATGGTTTCTTCCACATGGGCTGTAGGTTCTGAAATCTCCTTTTCCCTCCCTAACTTTGAAGGGTGAGTGGTGAAACTGACAATACAGCAGAGCTGGTGGCAGCGGGTGCATCAATTCACAGGTGGTAGAAGGTTCAGAGAGAGGGAAGCACTCACTAGAATGTATCGGCATTCACTAGAAATTATGTGCAGTCATGGGTCCTGGGCCACATAGCCAAATTCTCCTGTCTTGCCCTCTAGTCACCCTGTCCCACCCACAATCCTGCTACTAGAGTCCCACATCAGCACTGCTTTCTCATTAGGACCTTATGGACCCCATGCTGCACTCCAATTCCCTGACCCCAATCCCTACCCCGTTCTGGACAGAGACTATCAGTGTCTGCACTTGTGCCCTGGCATCACACCCTGACATACTGGAGACTTACTTTGTCTGGACTCATGGTTTCCAGAGACATGTGCCCATCCCCGTCCAGTGGGTGGGAAGTGACTGGGGGCAAGGGGCTAAGTGAGTCTTGCACTGTAGAGAGTCGGAACCTGTCCAGCAGAGAATAGAGCCTTTGGTGTCTGAAATACAGATGAAACCACAGCACAATTTGTCCTTTAGTCTCAGTTTTGCAAAGTCGGGCTCCTAAACATGTAACGTGAGGGACCAGCAGAAGTGGCTCCTCAAAGCAAGATACATCTTGTTAGGACTTTGAACATTCCAGCAAAATCACAGTGCAAATTCAGGCCACAGTTTATACCTCACTGGTATTCTCCAGACACTTGGTTTACACCGTAACACTTCAGCAGTGTGACAGCCAACGAAGGCATTCTACTTCTCTCTCTTACTCCTCCCAACAATGGAGATTGAACCCGGGGCGTACACATGCTAGGCAAGTGCATTCTTTATGCAGAACAGATAAACTCGTCTAAGATCCAAGGGCATAAATTCTATTTAATTCCCCATAAAGACACAATTTATTCTATTAGGAATGACCATTTCACAGAAGAATCAGTTAAGCTGGCCCAAAGTATTTATGATCTGTTACAATCATTGTCATCTGGGCCTATGACTAAGTCTAGCATCAAAACATAATGACAACTTGCTTTCTTGGCACCTAACTTCATACAGCCAATCACAACACCACTTAGCTCCGCAGACTGAAAAATCACCCCAGATTATGCCTTGTCTCATTAAGAAACACTATCAGAAAAGCCTTCTGGACCAAAATCATGGCATAATTGCTCTCTAATGCACACACACATGTGCTCTCCCCAACTGTAGTGGAGGAGAGGCGAAAGCTTTTAAGTTATTTTGTAGTATGCACACACTACAGATGCAAGCGTTTCTAATAAAGGCTTCTAAAAGACTGTCAAGCAATCAGGTGACTGAGTAGCTGAGAAGAGACGGGCTTAACGAGATACAGACAGAATCTGTACATGTCAGAGCCAGGAAGGAGAGCTCTGAGTCCCACTACCTCGTAGGGTCTGTGCAATTATGCTCTGTGCTTCAATTCTGACATTATAAAAATAGAGCTGGCTGGGCGTGGTGGCACACGCCTTTAGTCCCAGCACTTGGGAGGCAGAGGCAGGCGGATCTCTGAGTTCAAGGCCAGCCTGGTCTACATAGTGAGTTCCAGGCCAACTGGGGCTACAGGGAGACCCTGTCTCAAAAAGACCAAAGTAAAATAAAATAAAATAAAATAAAATAAATAATAATAAAATAAAATAAAGCTGATAGTTCATATTCCCATTCATCAAAGATCTAGGAGCACAGTCAACAAAATCATCTGACTCCTCAAACAGCCAGCAGGTTCAGGAGCCCCAACGTGTGCCACAGGCGCCTGAATGCCACCTGCTTTGCTTCTCATAACGTGAGCTCCCACCACGTGGCATTCAGGAATCCTGTCTGCTGTGGCATTGCTACAGTACTCTCATCATACAGCACACTGACTCCTTGGCCTGTGAATGTGTTCCTGCACACTCTAAGTTTTCATACCCTGAGTTACCCAAATGCAGCACCCCATGTTGCGTCCTTACCTCTGTGCAAGCCCACTGCTCTGCAGGTGCTCCTGGATTCTGTTCAGTTCTTCCACTGGCAACTGGGCCATGCTGCTCTACACAGACAAGAACGTGTCAGAGCCTCTGCCCATCTGAAAGGATAAGCTAGATGCACAGCTTACCGCAATCAGAGCACTCTAGAAGCAGTTGGTCAGCTTCACAAACGACAGAACATGCACACACGGTCCTACCAGTGACCACACGAGGACTCAGCCCACGGAGAAGGTGCCCTAACCAAATGGTTTGTCTGATTGGCTAAATTTTGATATAAATCATTAGTGATTTTTTTTTCCAGTACCTGTAAATTTGCAGCCAAAAGCATTTCTACCCGGCGACAGGCCAGGGTGTCAACCATGCGAGCCAGCGCACGGAAGGGGGTGCTCAGAAGCCTGTCCACATACAGTGTGAGCACGGCGCCTGACTGGCTGAGATGGATGCCTTCCAAGCACTGAAGCGTTTTCTTCAGAGTGGTTGGCTAATGTTGAGAAGGAACAAGAATTCATTATTTCACTGACTGGAAATGGGGCTTAAAAAAAATCCTGTACTCAATTTTTAAGGTAGAGAAAGTTAACTGGCAGGCTGAAGACTTACAGTTGAAAGATTTTCACAACGAGACTGAATGGCCTGGATAAAAAGGCCACTTGCTGCAGAATTCCGATGAACAGCACTAATGAAGTCCTGCACTGGAGGCTCATGAGACAGGTTGATCAGATCTTGAATATGATTCACGATGAGCCACGTCAAATGCTCTGAGTCATGAAGATTCTGACACTGGAAGATATAAATAATAAAAGACAGGTTTTCAAATAGACAAGAAGGTGACAGATAGTAATACCACAGAAAAGACTAGAAAGGGCAGGAAGGAGAAGACAAATATCAAATACAGACTGCCTTAAGGAAAATAGTTTGGATACAAGTAACTAACAAGGAAGGAAACTCAGTTGCAGAGTATCCCATCTCTGATCAAACCCCAAGATGTCCAGGAGGAGAAGGATTCTGTTGTGGCAGAGCCCATAGAAAGTCAAACCCCAATGGTAATGCCCAGTTCCCAGAGACATCAGCAGACAGCTCACATCACAGAATGGACAGAAGGAACACCGGCTTTCTGTGGAAAGGTCAAGGGGCACCTGCCCACAGGACCAAGGTAAGCATACTGTGCAGCCCCCTCTCAAGTGACTGGCCGGAGCTCCCCACTACAGCACTTGCTGTTCCCTTCCAGGCTCTGGGCCAGCCCAGTGAGGGATGCTCTTCTCCACTTATTCCATCTCCTGTTTTGGAACAGGTTAGTGGGAGAAATACCCACAGATTTGATAGAAGTCTTGAATCCAAAAGATCGATCTCCCCAGTACACTGACGAAATTTCATTTAAGGATTATAAGGAAATAAGAAATATCCACAGATTAAAATCACAGGCAGCAGGCTAGAGAGATGACTCAGCAGATAAGAGCACTGGCTGCTCTTGCAGAGGACCCAGGTTTGGTTCCCAGCATCCACATGGCTGTCCGTAACTCCAGTTCCAGGGGATCTGCCACCCTCTTCTGACCTCTGCAGGTACCTCACAGCACGGGTGCACTTACATATACATGCAGGCAATACACTTACACACATAAAATTAAAAAACAAAACAACACAAGTAGGCTTTTCATCTTAATTCATAATCCCAAACAGAAACCAAAACCTGATCAATTTTCCCTGACATCTGGTTAATGGAAATATTTTCCATTTGGAATCATTTGACAGTATTTTCTTAAAAAATTATCTTTCCTTATACTTTTGTGGAAAACTGCATTATATAGTTATATTATTTCTTAAAAGTGGAACAAAATGGGGCTGGAAAGATGGCTCAGTGGTCAAGAGCACTGACTACTCTTGCAGAGGACCTGGGTTCGATTCCCAGCACCCACACGGTGGCCCACGACCCGTCCATAACCCCAGTTCCAGGGAAATTCAACGCCCTCTTCTGACCTCCGCAGCATTGCATGACACAGGTGCACTTACACACATGCAGGCATAACACTCATACACATAAAATAAATTTTAAAAATTATAAAATAAGCCGGGTGTGGTGGCATACGCCTTTAATCCCAGCACTCAGGAGGCAGAGGCTGTGAGTTCAAGGCCAGCCTGGCCTACATAGTGAGTTCCAGGCCAGCTGGGGCTACAGGGAGACCCTGTCTCCAAAAAAGAAAGAGCATTCAAAAGAAAATCTAAAATCAAACAATGAATATGAGTATTTAAAACCTTTCCTACAAATTAACTGGAAAAAAAACCTCTCCAACAGTTAGTACAGTCAGCTTATTAAAATCATTTTATTTGCCAGGCATGGTGATGCACTTGGGAGGCAGAAGCAGAGGCAGCCAGCTCTCTGTGAGAACGACACAGCCTGGGCTCCATACTGAGACAAACATGCCCAGCTTCATGCCAGGCACTGAGCCTCTGGGCATGTAATAAATTAGTGATGGCTGAATGAAAGCTCAAGATCCGTTAAAAATTTAGCTTGGGAGGGCCACGACTGGTCTAATCACACACCAGAGTGAACATCGCTACGTTCCTCAGTGTGGCTGCCCGACTAAGTGCACACAAGCAGTATCCATGTGCCCCACCTCCGTCTGCACCCCATGGGCATCTTTCGCACTTACAACATAATCACAGAAGAGAATAAGGGCCCCTCTTCGCACGACTTCTCTACTGCACATCCCAAGTTGAGCTGCGGAGTCAGAATCCTCCTCCTCGATGGACATCTGGGGGCTAAGTGACTTTGTGCAGGATAAACTGTGTCTCCTACAATGAGAGACGGATGCAATGAGGGCACATCTGGGACGGCAGCAGGCTTACACACACACAGACACACACGCAAACACAAATATTGAGTGTGGCTCTGTTTCATTTTCCTACTTAAATACAGTAATTCTGAATGTTGTTACGTCAGAATGATGTGTACGTGTACTCTGTCTTCTGCTCCTAGAAAATAACTAAGAATACAAGAGGGTCTAGCAGGCAGAAAATACACTACATATTATACACACACACATTCTTCTTTGACTGCACCACGGGAGAGTTATTTGTAGACCTAACATTGCACTATAAATTCTCCAGGTGCTTCCTGAACATGCCCCCTAGACACCATGCACACCATGCTCAGACTCAAATTTCCTACTGTCTAGTAAGGATCAATCAGTCTGGCAGTCTCATATGCCAGATCCAAAACATAATCAAGGATTCCAGAGGTAAAGTCGCTTTCCTGTTTTTCTCTGATTAATGTAACAATTCTGTTTTTCTGGGTTTTTTTTTTTTTTTTTGGTTTTTTTGAGACAAGGTCTCCCTGTGGCCCCAGCTGTCCTGGAACTCACTATGTAGACCAGGCTGGCCTTGAACTCACAGAGATCCACCTGCCTCTGCCTCCTGAGTGCTGGGATTAAAGGCGTGCGCCACCACGCCCGGCAACATTCTGTCTTTTAAGACACAGACATTTCAGCGAGTCCAGAGCATCCTGGTAGAGGATGGCCTCCTCCATCAGCTGAGGTCAGACTCCATTTCTTTGAGAACAAAGCAGTGTATGGCTTACACCCTTACCACCAACAGCCACCAACAGGGCGGGGACAGATCGGCTCAGAGCTGGCTGAACTATGTTTCTTCTCACCTTCCTTCTGCCTCATTCACAGTTAACTCAGGCCCTAAACCTTGTATCTTTCCCAGGACAATTCAATCTTGCCTGTTCACTGGATCCCCCTGAGAACCTACCACACACCAGTTCTCAGGGCTCCAACTTCCTTCTTTTCTTTCTGTTAAAAGATCATTATATTTACCTATCTGTTTATGTGTGTACATGTATGCCATAGTTTAGCATGTGTACCACAGTATACCTATGGAGGTCAGAGGATAACTTGTGGGAACTGGTTCTCTCTTTCTACCATGTGGGTCCTAGGATCCGAAATCAAGTCATCAGGTTTGGCAACAAGCACTTTACACGCTGAGCCATCTTTGCTAAGGCCTGACCCCTAATTATAGAGCCAGAAGTCATCTGGCCCTGTAGTGGGCCACTCAGAGCATGGCCCAAGGAGCAGCAGCACTGGCACCAGCAGGGGCTTAGAGTCCATGCAGATTCCTCGGCCCTAGCAAGCTTCTGGCTCTATTTCAAGTTTTATGGCCGACTTATAAGCAGCACAGAGCTAGGACACTCTGACTTCCTGTCTGAAAGCACTTAGAATGTTTTCAGAAATCTAATGTATCCTAAGTGTTTCAAATGATGTCATGGGTGTATCCCCAAGTGCCCCGTGTGGGGCAGAAAGTGGCATTTCTATTTCATTTGCACATTCTGTTACACAGAACACTTAGCAATAAATAAAATTTAAAAAACAGGGATTTGAAAACAGACGGTGGGTCTGGATGGGAGCCCCTGGCCTCCTGGCACCAAGTCGAGGCGCTAACTGTACCTGCATGCCTTTCCTCTAGGAACCTCTTCCTGCCAAGGCTCTCAAGGGGTGGAGCTCTCCTGGCAAGAGCCCTTAAGCAGTCCAGGAACCACACTAAGGACTGACTAGGCTGGCTCAGCTTGTACTTCAAAACATGCTCGATCTCTAAGTGAGTGTGCACCTGGGTACTGAGGCTTAAGCCTGAGGATTCTTTACAAAAAAGGGCCACCCACAAGCAGAAAGTTTATCTAAATGATAAAAAAAAATAACATATTTTCAATATGTTTCGAAATTTGCTAAATAATTACTTCATTATCTAAGAATAACCAGACCCACATTTAACTCATTATGAAGTTAAGATATTGCAACATGTCTGGCCATGGAACCCATGTAAGCCCTAGAACATCGCAGAGGGGATGGAGCCTGAGAAGCATAGCCCATAAGATGGAACAGAGCTTGTCAAAGAAAACCATGTTGAAAGAGCAGCTGTCTAGTTTGAAAGCCTGCAGCCAGACCACATTCCCCTACAAACAGTGCCATGAAAGAAAGACTAATACACAGCCCGCATTTTATAAAGCCTCAAAAAGAATGGAAATAAAAATGCCTTCAAAGCAGCCAAGCCTCAGGCCAAACACTGGACTAGTGCCTGGGCCCAGGGAGCAGTGCACCTACTTTGGTGTCTGTTGCACCTCTGCCCACCAACGGTGATCAGTGTGGTTGACAAGCAGCAGGATCTGACACCACAGCAGTACCAGAGCTGGGTGCGTGGGTACCATGGAGCGCACCCGTGCATTCAGGCTCTCCAGGGTGTAGAAGCTGCCCTCACAGCCATCGCTGGTGAAAAGTCGAGTGGCAGCTGCTGTGATTCTCCGGAACATTCCTAAAACCAAAGTACAACTGGTTATGGGACAAAGCCTTCCCCATACCTATGTGTTCAAAGTATTTGGCACTTAGAGAACTCTGACTTGTGTGTGTGGTCCTGTGTGTGTGGAGGTCAGAGGCTGATCTTAGATCAATATGTTGCTTCTCCATCTTATTTGAGATGGGGCCTTTTGCTGAGACTGGAGCTCAGCACCTGGCTAAACTGGTTGGCCAGAGCCTGAGATCTTCCTGGCCTCCCCTCCCAAAACTGAGGCTGCAGGAGCCCGAGCACTGCAGTTGGTGCTTTATGTAGGTCCTGGGTCCAGATTCAGGTCCTCATACCTGTACCACAGCACTTTCTGACAAAGCCACATTACCAGCCCCAAACTTTAAGACTTTTCTAAATCTTTAACTTATTTAACGAGTCAGTCCATTGACCTGGGAACCTCTTCACGTTGGCCCTCTGCTGATCAGCATGGCCACATAAAACGGGAGCCCTGAGACAGGTGCTGTGAAGCCTAGATCCAAGTGCACAAAAGGAGCTGGCCAACACAAGAGCCAGGTCAGTAGTTGTAGGCCACAGTGGGGGAATCACAGAACTGAGCCGCAGCCAACAGATAGAACAGCACCCCACAAATGAGTGCTCTTTGGATGGAGAGGCAAAGACACAAGAGGCTGCAAGAGCAAATAGACAACTGTCAAGAGAGCTAAACAAGCCTTTACAGAGGTTTTACTTCAACTCTATCTTGAGACCAGCCAAATCCAGGAGTTGTTCTACCCAGTGTCACACTAAACAAGAGAAACAGACATACATGCACGGACAAATGCACACACCCTCTCTCTTTGCAAGTGCCCAAAGGCACCAAGACAAAGCCACACCATGCTCTTCCAGGACCGTATGCCACTCCGACCATGCCTGCACTGCCAAAGAGAGGAGTCAAGGGCCTCACCCTGGTTTACTTCATTAAAGTTAAGCACAATTAAGAAGTGCCTCAGGCATGCTACTTGCAATTTAGTTGCCCAATTACACATGTGGCTAAAAGCCACTAAATTAGCATGTGTGTGACATATCCTAACTTTGCTGGAGTTTTCTGTTTGACATGACCATGCAATGCACAGTAAAAGCATTCCCTTCAGATTTGGAAGAAAGGAAGCAGAGGAAGTTAGAGCTACTGCTGAGTGAGCATTTGAAGCCACACAGGAAGTCCATGGGATGAACAGCACACAGCACAGAGCTGTCGTCCAAAGGTAAGAGAAACCATCAAGGTTTCAAAACCGCAGTAGCCTCTCCCCCTTCTCCAACAGGGTCCAGCGGACTTTGGATTTTCAAGCCTGAAAAAAGGGAACTGAGCTGATAAGAACATTGGTCTTTGAAGTCAAGGGAAGTAGACTCTTCTAAGAGGCAGCCTGCCTTTCCTCTGATTTCTGAAGACAAGAGAAGCAGATTCTGCCTGTTAACCAGAGATTTTAGGAGCCACTTTTAGTACAGCTTTTCCCTTATCTCAGGAGGACAAAAAATAAACACTTCCTGACCCAGATCCTGGCTGGCAGACAGAATGGAACGGAGCCGGGTTTACAAGCCCTGCTTTTCCTGCTTCCCCCTGCCTGATTTTTCCCAAAAAACTTCCTGCCTTCTGCACCCTGAAGCCCCATAAGCCCCAGCTTACAATCCGTGGGCTGACATCTTCCCTTCCTCGAAGGGAACATGTCCCGTGCGAAATAAAGCTCTATCCCGTTCAGAGTTTTATCTGTGTCTTGGTGCCGCCTCCTCCATTCGCTCGTTCTCTGACAACTTTTTACTTATCAGAAACCTCCTTCAGTGTGGGATCCAAACTAAGCAATGGAAAACCATGAAAGAAACCTGCTATTCCTGACAGTGATCAATGAAGCATAAATCAGAAGGTCTTTAAAGGTCAGGGGACGGCTCCCTGAAACCCATGTAGAGACACCAAATGTGGCGACGGAGTACATCTGTAACCTCGGCCAGCTCTTGTGCACAATGCAATGGCAGAAACAAAGAAACCCTGCCTCAAAACAAAGTGAAAGGGGAGAACTGCCCCCCAAAAAGCTATCTCGCCTCCAACCCCCACAGGCACACAGTGGCAAGCTCAAGCCCTCATTCACATACACAAAATAAATAAATGATCTTTAAAACAACAAGGGGGTTTTTAAAAAGAAAAAAAAATATCAATATTAAGAAAAATAGTTTAAAACTAGTATCTGTTATCAAAATTAGATTCTGGCATGTTGCTGTTGCCCTTGGCAACAAGTAAGGGAAGCAGTTCACATAATGCTCCATCCTTGGGCTCCACTGGGCAGTCTGCTTTCCTCCCAACCTGTGCTCACGCCCACACTTCCGTCGTCCTCTCTTCATACTCCAAAAGCTGGTTCCACTGGCCACTTCAGCTGAGCTCACCAGGCCCCTGAGAAGCCCTGCCTGACTCCCTCCTGTTTTGTCTATCACTGTACTGCTCAAGTTCTAACTGGTGTACTTCTGTCACTGGTAGCACACTATCAGTTACTCCATCTGTCCCTTCTTCCTCTTACAACTTAACCCATACCTTCAAAGGAGGGCTGTCCAACCTCTCACCTGGCCCAGGCTGGCCAAAGCACTCAGGGCTCAAAGGTGCCCAAAATGGTTATAGAAAGTCAACACAGTACACTCCAGAGGCTCAGAACCACTGAGGCCAGAGGCCATCCTTCTGCTGTGCAATGGAGTCCACCAAAGGGCACGGCCAAGACAGAAACCAAAGTGGGACATGGAAATACACTGCACAGATTACAGGATGAAACCACTAGGCACAGCCACAGTTGAGGACAGCCAACTGTCCCATCACATGCCCCTCCCACAATAAATAAATGTAATTAAAAATGTTTTAGCATTTTTATTTTATGTGTGTGAATGTATTGCCTGCATGGATGTAGGTGCACCCATGTCATTCAATGCCCACAGAGGTCAGAAGAGGAAACTGGAGTTATGGACAGTTGTTAGCTGCCATGTGAGTGCTGGGAACCAAACCTAGGTCCTCTGCAAGAGCTGAGGTTCTCCGCTGAGCCATCTCTCCAGCCCCTAATTTTTTTTTTTTTTTGTCTTTTATAGACAGGATCCCCCTGCAGCCCCACCTGGCCTGGAACTCACTATGTAGACCAGGCTGGCCTTGAACTCACAGAGATCTGCCTGCCTCTGCCTCCCAAGTGCTGGGACTATAGGCATACGCCACCATGACCAGCACTGTTTTTTAATTAAAAAAAAAAAAATTTATTAGGAAGTAGGTCTCATAGCCCAGGCTGATCTCAAACTCTCTATGTAGCTGAGGATGACCTAAACTTCTGGTTCTCTGCACCCACGTCTCTGGTGCTGGGATCACAGGTATACACCACCACACTTTATGTGGTACTTGGGATCAAACCCAGGGTTTCATACATGCTCAGCAATCACTCCCATCAACTTAGTTACATTCCCAGTTGGAGTCTTTAGGTTAAAAAAAGGCAGAACGTATGGCCCAGTCACAGTCATGTAGTCTGCAAGTCTGCCCACTTTTCTATTTGTTCAGAAGAGCATAATCTTCTCTTCTCCATGTCCCTTTTCTAGACATGCTTTCAAGGCTTTGGACTTTCCCAGCGTCTTGTATTTCTTCACTTTCTCTAAAGCTTCCTTCTCCCAGCCACGTGGCTGCCGGTCAGCCCCGTGTCTGACCCCCACGCAGACTGCAAACCCGCACGGCTTCATGGCTTTCTGTCCCTCTCCCCACCGTTCTCCTCAAGGCAGCTGCCAAGATGACCAGCTCGCCTGCCCCCCACAACCCCCAGAGGATTTGTCTTTGAAAAGTCTAATAAAATTGTAAAAGCTTAAATCAGCTGATTCAGAACTTTTTGAATCTGAGCGGTCCTTCCCACTTAAAAAAAAAAAAAAAAAAAAAAGCAAACCATCTGTTCTGTGTTCACGTATATGTGTGTGTACATGTTCATGTCATCACATATGGAAACAAGTGTTTTCTTCTATCATGTAGGTCCTGGGGAATCACGCTCAGGCCTTCAGGCTCGGCAGCAAGCGTCTTACCTGCTGACCTACCTTGCTGGGCCTCAACCCCTTCCTCTTGTGGTAGAATATATATAACATAACATCTATCACCTTGACCATTTTTAAGTATATAGTCCTGGCTCTAAATGCGTTTATATTATGTAACACCACCACCACCACGATTCATTTTGTAATTCATTTTTTCCTTTTGGTCTTTTTCAGACAGGGTCTCCCTGGAACTCCCTATGTAGACCAGGCTGGCCTTGAACTCACAGGGATTAAAGGCGTGCACCACCACACCCAACTCTGTAATTCTTTTTAAAAAATATTTTTTAAATTTTATTTTATATGAGTGTTTTACCTGCATGTATGTAAATGTATCATGTGCATGCCAACGTCCTTAAGAGGCCAGAAGAGGGCATCTCTCCTGAAACTGGACTTACAGATTGTTTTGAGCAGCCATGTAGGTGCTGGCAACCAAACCCCAGTACTCCGGAAGAGCAGCAAGCACTCTTAACCACAGAACCATCTCTCCAGCCCCATTTTATAATTCTTTTCATCTTGTAAAACTGAAACTCTAAGGCATTAAACATAACCCCGCCTCATTTGAAGCCCCTGGCCACACCATTTGATTTTATGTCTCTAGATTCTGAATATTTGTGTAAAGCAAACACACAGTGCTTGTCTTTCTGTGCCTGGCTTATTTTGCTCAGCATGCCTTCAAGAGTCACTCATGTTTTGTCAGAATTATCTTACTTTTTCAGGCCGAGAAATATTCCATCTGTAGATACATTCAACTACTTATATATTATATGTCAGATTTTGCTCATTGATTACCCCACCAAAATGGATACCTGAGCTGCTTCTACATCTGAGTTACTGTAATGAAGATCATCATGAACACAAGAATATGATCCATCTACCCAACAGTAGCTGCTGAACCACACCCTATGAGATTAACTCTTATCATCAAGAAAGCCTGCCAAATGGGCACAATGAACAGGGAGGACAGCTTGTAGTGGGGGGCACTGTCCCTATGCCCCAAGAAGCTACTGTGCAAGACAGGGCACAGGAAACACTATGAACTAACCAGTTCACTTACCAGACTTGAAGATGTGGATTAGACACATGAGCAAAGTGCCGAGCTCCTGGCAGTAGAATGTGTGCTGCTGCTCACTCATGTCCACTTTCAACTGCTTTCTAACAATGTCTTCTAAGAGAATGCCAACCAGCTGTAACAGGAACCTTGCAAGAAAGGGATGGAATGACAGCACGTTAGGCCGCTATCACTGAGCTCATAATGTGAATGAAAAGAAAGTCAACTCGTGTCACATAAAAATACAGGTAATGTACACTGAACCAAGTAAAAGTGAAATGAAGGCTTCAGACCATACTCTGGACTGTCTCTTTACCTCTCTGTAAATCACATTCCTCAACTATGAAACGGCAGCCATACCATCCTCAAAGACCTACCACAACAGAGTGACAACAACCAGTGGTATTTTTTTGAAGCTTTGTAGGCTGTAAAAGTTTCACACAATTACCAGCTGATAATTCACTACAGAAATTTGGTGTGGCATCATTTTAACCACTTGTTTCAACCTAAGAGAGGAAGAGACACAGACTGCCAGTTAAACCTACAAACAAAACAAGACAGCACAGGTGTCGCCACCTGAAAATGTGGGAGGCCCAAAGGACCATATTCAGAGTGTGGCTCTAACTCCAAAGGAGGGCAGAGTGTTGATAAGTGCCTAAACTGTGACCACTGTCCTTGAGGAGCTCCCACCACCATGTGGAAGGGCAGACCTGAGTTGGTCCAGCAGGTACACAGTGGGTGATACTCACCGTGGCAAGGAAAGGTTCTTTACTGTAGCACATGGTGTAAAGAAGCCCAAGGCCGACTTCCAGTGCATATTCAGGTGCAACTACTCTACAGGGAGCCATCCTTTACTGCCTGGACACAGGGCAGGCCACCCGTGCTCTACAGGGAGCCATCCTTTACTGCCTGCACATAGGGCAGGCCACCCATACTCTACAGGGAGCCATCCTTTACTGCCTGCACATAGGGCAGGCCACCCATGCTCTACAGGGAGCCATCCTTTACTGCCTGCACATAGGGCAGGCCACCCGTGCCTGCTCCTGGTGAGTCACAAAGACAGCACTAGAATGTGACCGAACCTTAAGAAAGGTGTGAAGCGAGGGCTGGGTGAGATATGGTATTAAAAGCTGCATATGCCAGCATGGTGGTGCACACCTTTAATCCCAGCACTTGGGAGGCAGAGGCAGGCGGATCTTTGTGAGTTCAAGGCTAGCCAGGGCTACAGGAAGACCTGTCTAAAAAAAAAAAAAAAAAAAAAAAAAAAGTGCTGGGTGGGTTAACAGTGCAACTAGGGCAGCAATTACTCAGATGGACTGATGAGTCACCACATGATTCCCAAAAGTTGCAGGTCCAGAGATAAAGCATACCTTGAGAACGTGTCTTCTGGCAAATTCTTCATTTGTTTGCCTTCACTGCATTCTCCCAGTGATGAATTATTGTCTCCATCTCTTAACTTGTTAATTACTGGACAGGAGATTAAATATGGAGAGAAGGAGAGTTCCTGAATACGAGACAGAACGATGTCTTCAGTTGACTGGGAAATCAGAACCCTCAGAATGGCTAGGATTCCGGATATCCACAGCTGAACAGTGCTTACAGAGGCCTACAAGAGAAAATACATATGCTAAAGCCAAAGAAAGAAAAATGACTACATTTCCCCTGGCTGCCAAGTCCACAGAACACCACCTCCATTCATTACTGTAGCAGGAAGTCCCTACAGCACTGGTTTCAAATGTGGTCCTAGAGAAGGAGCACAAGGGTCAATTGGGAAGGTGAAAAGCAGTGCTCAAGTTCTATTCCCACCTCACCAGCTGTGGCAGATTTGGGCTGAAACATGGCCTCTAGGGCACCAGGAGTGTCTGATGAGACTCACCATTGTGCTTGGAGTGATGAACATACTCCGCAAAAGCATGTCCACAGGACGGAGGGAGGAAGGAGCCAAAATCTCAAACAAAGTATTTAACACTCCAAGAGCTTCATGGGAGTCAATGTGCATCTGTGGAATGAAGCAAGACAGAGAGACGTCTATGCGCCATTGTCCACACCACATCCTGTCAGTGAAAGTTTAAAAGCTTTTTACTTAGTAGGGACCCAAGCAAGCTCTCAGGACAACACTGTTTTCAGTCACATTTCACTACAATGGAAATCTTTTCATTTGAATTTCATTACATAAACAACACGCTTTCTATAAAAGAGGCACATACAGCAAACAACCAGACCGACCCTGTGACGCAATCTCCAACAGTCTTCTCTGCGTGTCTTCCCACGCACAGCCCATCACACACACTCATCTCTGCTTTACCTGCACCCACTCTTGCTCTGCAGTAACACAGTAATAAAAGGCAGTTGTCCCATTCCCAGCTTTCTCCATGGTCCAATATCCCACTGTCACCCCAATACTGGGAGCTTTGAGTTTAATAGTTCTAGCCGGATGTGGTGGCGCATGCTTTTAATTCTAGCACTTAGGAGGCAGAGGCAGGCGGATTTCTGTGAAATGGAGGCCAAACTGATCTACATAGTGAGTTCCAGGCCAGTTGGGGCCACAGGGAGACCCTGCCGAAAGAAAGAATCTATTAGTAACTTGCCTGCTTTTCTTACTTCACAGTACAATGGAGAACTAAAAAGGAAAAGGGCTTAAAATAACAGCACTGCCTTTAAGGGGTGCAGAAGATTTCAAACAAATCCTACATCACAAACCAATGTGTCCAATCACCAATTCTATTTCCTGAACTCTACTGTACTTAGCAAACAACTATAGAGATGGGTTTGTTTAAGTTTTTTATTATTTTTGTGTGTGTGTGTATTGCCTGTATGCAGGTAAGTGCACCTGTGTTGTGCAATGCTCGCAGAGGACAGAAGAGGCTGTGGGATCCCCTGGAACTGGAGCTACAGACAGTTGTTAGCTGCCATGAGGGTGCTGGGATTTGAACCCAGATCCTCTGTAAGAATAGCCAGTGTTCTTAACTGCTGAACCATCTCTCCAGCCCCGAGATGGGGTTTTTAAAACCATGTAGCACCAAGTCAGACAGTGAGATAAGGAAACTGTTGAGAACCTCTGGGTACCCATGCTTCCTACAGTCTGCCTGAGCCATACCACAGCCTGCCCTCCAGATACTATGGAAGAATTCCCTGTGCTCATGTAAAAGAGCACACACCACTGAGGCAACAATGACAACCCCTGTGCCTGCTCAAAGACACCATGTTGGCAACGTTGGATCTGTCCTGCCTGTGGGGCCCTTATTTTGCCTTCAATGGAAGCCAGGCCTTCGTTTCTGCCAACACCATTCCATTCCTACTCACCCCTTTCCTCTACAGCCTACCACCCTGAGCCCTGTCCCCTCTTCTAGCCAATCTCTTTCCAAATCCCCTCTTCCTGTTCTTTGGGAACATACTCCCATCACCATCTGGCTTTCTCTGTCCTAATGAAATCCTTGGTCAGCACCACAGTGCTGCCAATCCCAGCCCCTCCCTACTTTACCAAAGGCTTTTGTAAGAAAGGTTAAGCTGAGGCTGGAGAGGTTAAGAGCACTCGCTGCTCTTAAAAAGGACCCAGGTTCAGTTCCCAGCACACACATGGAGGCTAACAACTGTCTCTAATTCCAGTTCCAGGGGACCCAACACACTCTTCTGGCCTATGTGGGCACAACATGCACATGGTGCACTTATATCCACACAGGCAAAGCATTCACACACAAATTAATTAATTAATTAGTTAATTAATAAAGAAAGAAAGAAAGAAAGTATAATAAGCTTGTCTTATGATCTCGGTTCCTGCCTGTTCTTCCTACCCGTCCCAGGCTGTCACTTCACATCGTCTCCAATACCTTCCTGATGTCAGATGCAGTAGGCTTGAAACAGGTTTCTCCTCTCCAGCAAGGCTGGTCCATTGCAACCTCCCCCAGTCTCAGATGTTGCTTTCTATCCAGCCACCTCTCAACAGCTTCAGATTCATCGCCCAGTGCTGGCTTCAGCCCCATTAGGTGCCCACTAGGGGGCTCCACTGAGCAGACCAGATCTGACCTTCTCCAGGGGCTGCTGCCAGGCTCTTGAATGCATCCACAGCAGTTCTATCCTTAGAACACCCATGATGCCTCTCTCCCTTACATCCCACAGCTGGCCATCAGCATTGTGTTAAGCAATGTCAATGTCCACACTACTCCATTACAGGGCATCCTGTGGGTTTTCCTGCTTTGCCATTACTCCCCTCTAGAGTCTGTACCCAGCTCAAGTGTAAGAGCTCAAATCATTTCCCCATGGCTCCTCTGTGCTAAGCCCTCTGAAAGGTTCCCTACCCTTCCACTCTGGACCTCCCACCCTTTCTTCTCCTGTGTCTGCTCCAGCAGAATGGCCTCTTGCACATGATGGGCATGTTGCCTCCTCAAGGACTTTAGCACTCTCTTCCCAGTCCCTGCTAGACTCACCTTTCCCCTCCTTTATGCTTATTCAAACATCCTTCCTGGGCAGGGCTTTTTCTTGTCGTCCGTCCTTTACCCTGATACTACTCCCCTCTCCTCTCCTGCAGAGTACTTATTAGTATCTGATATTTACACTTAATAATTTGTTTTGTTATCTGCTTTATTATCCACTGTCTCAATGAAACTTTCACTCTACAATGGCAGAGTACAGCTTTCCAATACACTTTGTTTAATGAAGTATTTATTATCAGTGCCTGCAATACTACCTAGTGCCTCTTCTGCACAGAGCTCTCCCCTGTGCTGAGCTATGTGACAGGGACCACGCTAAGATTCTTACACATCTACCATACAAAGTGCACAAGCTGAGCGGGGCACCTCCCATGCACTCAGGCCTTCCACCTGCACATACTCAAACTGCACACGAAACTGAGCGAACAGGACCAGGCTTCCAGGGCACCCCCAGAAAATACCTCCCAAGAGGCCAGGCTCCCTCCCACTGCCCAAGAGGTCTCAAGATAACAAATCATCAAGAAATGGCAATGGGGTGAAGCTATGAAGACGGAAACCACCCAGAGTACGCCTGCATGTTTTATGAAATGCTGGGACCTGTGGCCACTTTGTGCTTTCTAGAGCACTTGTTGCCACCAGACAGGTGACCACGAGCAGTGCAGACTACAAATTGGCAATTTGCCAATCTTACAGTTTCATCCTAACACAGCCCAGAACTGCGCCAGGCTTTCTGGCAGGGCGTCTACAGCCAGTCACACTGTACCTTCCATTGTAACAGTGCTGGAGTGGGAGGTGCATGGGCTTCTGTGCTCTGGGGCCCACATGCTCCAGGACCCAGGGTTGTTTGGCTTCACAAGATGTGGCATAGCCAAACCAGTGCAGTTTTTTTGTTTTTTTTTTTTTCTTTTTCGTCTTTTTGAGACAGGGCCTCCCTGTAGCCCCAGCTGTCCTGGAACTATGTAGACCAGGCTGGCCTTGAATTCACAGAGATCCATCTGCCTCTGCCTCCCGAGTGCTGGGATTAAAGGCATGTGCCACCATGCCCGGCTTAAACCATTGTGCACTTTTTAAAGAAGCCAGTAGTGTCATTTATTTGTTTTTCTGTTTGTTTGTTTTTGAGACAGGGTCTCCCTGTAGCCCCGGCTGACCTGGAACTTGATATGTAGACCTGGCTGGCCTCCATCTCAGAAATCCACCTGTCTTCCAAGTGCTGGGATTAAGGGTGTGCACCACTATGCCTGGCCAGTAGTGACATTTGCTTGTAGAAATTCTGATTAAGTGACAACTACTAGGTTACTTTGTGATATGTGATAGGAATGCCCCCCGCCCCATAAATCCTCAGAAAGTAAAAGATCAAATAAAATACCTGGCTGACTAGAATAAAAGAGACTGGGTTAGAACTGGGCCAGCCAATCCCAGTCCCAGCATTCTCAAGCTGTGCGAGGCTGGGGAACCTCAAGAACCCACTGAGCCCTATTTCCTCGTTTGTAAAGTATGAAGACAATTTCAACCTCAGAGTCATGGGAGCCACTTGCCCCATGACCAGCAATAGGAAAAACTTTCAAAGCATGAACCTGGCAGGATGCATGGTTCACCGGGATCCCAGCACTCTGAAGCGTATCAAACTCACTACATGACAGCAAACCAAGGCAGTGGTGACAAACCTGCTGCTTGGCTAACATGGGCAGGATGATGTCTGCAACCTGCCGAGACAGTCGTTTCCACTTGTCCTCATTTTCCTTGTGGCACTGCTGCAGGACGAGGATGAACATCTCCAGCACCTGCAAGAGGGTTTGGGTAGATCAGGACAGTTCCCAGGTCCTCCGCCCTGCCCCCAGCTCAGCTGCGCAGCTCTTGGGTTCAAACATGTAATCCCTAGTAAGGACTAAGGAAGCCACATGGTCTTCACCTCCATAAGGCAAACAAGAAGAACATGCATGAAGAGATGCAGCAAGCTCCAAGACTGCATGTGAGCCACGCTGTGCTTAGGACGACTCCTGGTCGGTACTACTTCTATGGAATTGTAGAATTTCATGATCAAAGAGAAGGCATAAGAAAAAACACACATCACTCTTTGGCAGAACTCGAACACAATCTTGTCTAAATAGACTGCTCTGGATGCTTTGCTACACCTGTGTACGCTAAATGTCCTTCTGCGCTCTTTGCAGAGGCAGAGTGGAGTGACCCTTACTTCAACATGCCTACAGAGCTGAGCACAGGCTGCTCAGTGGTCAGCTTCGTGATTCTAAACACACTCACTGTCATAAGAGGGAACCTGGCCCACTGTCTGATTTTGTGGATAAACTGTACTTGGAACACAGCTATGGCATCTGTATACACACTGTCAGTATCTGCCTTCATTCTGTGACAGACCAGGAAGCCTGCAAAGCTGCAGTACTTTTTACCTAGTGGCTCACAGAAGTTTGCTGAACCCTGGTCTGTAAAATGCTACCACTAAAAAGGGTACATACTCACCTTGGGGACAATCTCCGTAAAGCCCAACCCAACTACCCCATCCCACAGCGGCTTTTCTCTTCAAGGACCACATGTAGGGCATGTGCCACACAAGAACTGCATCTCCTCTAACCCTTGTGGATGTACGAGGCTCTCCACGAGGCATGCTGAGACTCACCCTGCTGGATAGACAGGAGTGATACACTCCTCTCCAGGCAGCAGCAGCTAGGTTTGCCAAGGTCATACGCTTACTCTCAAACTACTGCATGCTGCTTCTGTTTATTGTGATCATGTGGCTTAGGCACTGACTAGTCAATTAAATATTATACAGACTGAGCAAAACATAAATGAAGAAAGTGCTATTTTTATGAGAAAGGCTTATGGTTTTATAGATTCAGAGCCAGACAGCAGAAACTAATAAAGTAAGTGAGAGCAGCAGTATGAATCTAAAAAGGAAAAATTTAAGGACACTAAGTTTCTGCACTTGGGCTACTAAACGTCATCCTTAACTAAAAATCGGCACAAATACAAAGAACTTGATCATGTAAAGATAAAAGTGGAATTTCTACCATTTTTTTAATAAATCAATGATTTGATTTTGACCAACACTGTCAATTAACTGATCCTTGGACCTTATTTTAGAAAAACAACCTAGCACATTTAGAATCATGAATGACGTTATAATGGCAGGCACATGACAGGTAGCCTCCTAGGGCTGTGCTGGCTTAAGACACAACCCTTCTGTACTCCCTCCTGTAACTGCCCTCTCACAGGCTCAAAGGGGCCATGTTGGTCAAAGGGGCACCGACTGTGTAACACACACAGGGCCTCGTGCGTCTCCCATGCCAACAATGCCTGTCACTCCGCCTTCCTCTTACCTGATGGTACTGGATGAGTCTCAACAGCATCGACACCACCACCTCCTTCTGGGTTTCAAGCTCTTTCCCTGCATCAGCTTTATTTGTTCCTCTTAATACAAAGAGGTCGTGAACTATGGGCTGCAGGGCCGGTATGGCTGTGGGTACACAACGGTGAGGAGACATGGCTCTGTGTGAAAACGACGTCTGGGAGACAGACACCAACACTTCCAACATATTTTCAGGAAATAAAGAAAACCCTAGCCTATGCCGGATTATTATGGAGTATTTTGAAAGTACCATCACAGTTCTGTAAAGGGCTAAGGTTCTTCCTCTCAACTCTGACTGACAGTGTTGTGAAGGCTTCTCACAAAAAGGAAACTAGAGCTCTGGTAACAAATGCACTGTCACTGCTGATAAAAGGGGACTCAAAGGAAAATCTATTTGAAAATGATAAAATGTTCCAAATAACCAAAATACCAACATCCCCAGCCAATGCATAATCTTCTAGATTTATGTAAAAGGAAAATATTCTGACCATGTAATACATCTGAGCCACAGTATTAGATTATTATAGTGTTTTAAGTAAAAAAAGTGACTCATGAGATGAAGATTTTCTCCAGGTTTCATCTTAGTCCAAAATAGAAGTCAAACTAAATGAACAGATTGAACACCACCATATAGATGGCTTTACCTGGCACATAGCACACTGATGCTCACTGACACACACACACATACATACACATACACATACACACACACACACACTCTGACTCTTGGTGACATGAACACACACCCATCCTGACCCTCAGTGACGTAAATGCACATGTACACATATATGCACACACACATTCTGACCTTGGATGAAACTCTCCTCCACACACCATGACCCTCAGTGGCAGGCACACACCGTGGTGCTGTGTGGTAAGAATGAACACATACCCTTACCCTCAGTGACACACACACTCGCTTGTACCCCTAAAGCTATGTACAACGTGGGTATGCTTGCTGACCTTCTCCAGATGACAAAGCATCCTAGCAGAAAGTAAAGGGTTGGCTGCCATTTTTTCCCCAGCCCAAAGACCCTATAAGCTCTATAGGTCCCTATACCTGACATAGCATTTTCAACTAAATGCAGTGACTCAACTGCTAAATATCTGATCTGTGCTTTTGCTGAAGCATGAACCAAGGTACACTGACAGCTAAGCACTGCAATCTATACTCCCCTGTGGATGCAAGGGATAGAAGTTCTCCATGGCAGGGTGATTCTCACCTGTGGAGGATCTGCAAAGGTCTTAGGATGCATCCCTACCAAAATTTAGAGGTCAAAAGCCTCTAAATTCTTGGCAACGGAGCAGCAAGAATCCAACAGGGAAAGCTAGAAGACCAGTTTGGGGTTTTTTTTTATTTTTTTTTGTCTTTTTTGAGACAGGGTCTCCTTGTAGCCCCAGCTGTCCTGGAACTCACTATGTAGACCAGGCTGGCCTCGAACTCACAAAGATCCGCCTGCCTCTGCCTCCCAAGTGCTGGGATTAAAGGCGTGCACCACCACTCCCAGCAGAAGACCAGTTTTTAAAACTCAGATTCACAACACATTGTTTCTTGTTGCTGTTGTATGAGGCAAGGTCTCCCTATGAGGCCCAGCCTTCAACTTACCAGTGCTGTTACTGCAGGCTCCAGCAGCATGTCCAGCTACAGCACGTTCTTATAGAGACCACCTCTTCCTACAGGCTCGAGAGGCTGACTGGCTAGTCATCTGCTGTGTTCTTACTTAAGCTTCAGTAAACTAATCTGGAAGCCATGGCATCAACCAGAGGGTGCTGGGGTACAGTGCCAATGTGCAAAGAGAACTTTAGTTTCCCCAGAATGTAGGTGGACACAGAATTTAAAAGTGTGGTTTATTTACTATTTAATAGCTTTCCTCCCAAAATACAATGTGGCAAAGCAGAAAATCCAGGTAAAGGTCCAGCTAGCTATGCACTCCAAAACTAAGGGAGATCAAAACCTGAGCTGCGGATGCAGCTTGGCTGCAGAATGCTTTGAGTAGCAGGCACAAAGACCCGGGTTCAATCCCAGCATCACATCAACAGGGCCTGGTAACGTAAGCCTATAATCCCAACGCTCAGGAAGTAGAGGCAGAAGGATGAGGAGGTTCAAGGCCGTCCTTGGCTTCCAAGTGAGTTCAAGGCAAGCATGGGACATGAGACCTCCTCTCAAAAAAAAAAAAAAAATCAAACTTTGATTCGTGGATACAGTGCAGAGCTGGGTGGAGAGCAACAGTGGTGGGAACAGCACGACACTAAGCACAAGGAGAGATGCGCCCATTACCATGAGTCACGGCCTTCCTCCCACTGGCCATGATGCCATCACATAGCTGGATGATCTTAGGAATTCCGATGATCTGTTTTGAATGGTAGCGCTCATAAGACAGCAATACCAGGAAGAAAAAGATATTTGGAATAATTGCCTCTGATTCCCTAGAAACAAAACATCCACTTAGACATTTCTTTTTAAAAGTCAATCCAAGATCTCTCTGTGTGTGTGTGTGTGTGTGTGTGTGTATCTATATATGCACAACATAAAATAACCTCAACAGAAAGTTTGAGTACAAAGGTAAAGGAAATGCTGCAGTCACATAATCCCAGTCACATCAGTGAGCTTCCTGAGTTTGACGGTTAGGAGGGATCAAGTGAGGGCACCTGACAGCACTGGATGCCAACAGGTAAAATCTTTCCAACTCTCCGTTTTCCTTTATTCATTCATATTCGTAGACTCCCTCTCTCTCTCTCTCTCTGTCAGAAATTCAAATTCCAAGGAGAAACCACAGAGTTGGGCTGTCACATAATTAGAATAAGGCCTGGGTCTCAGGCCCAGGGACTGTCAGAACACTCTCCACTCTCCTTCTATGCTGTTGCATAAACTGCTTATTTAAAAATGTCATTTTCGGGGCCGGGCGTGGTGGCACACACCTTTAATCCCAGCACTTGGGAGGCAGAGGCAGGTGGATCTCTGTGAGTTTGAGGTCAGTCTGGTCTACATAATGAGTTCTAGGCCAGCTGGGCCTACAGGGAAATCCTGTCTCAAAAAGACCAAAAAAAAAAAAGGTCATTTTCCAAAACACCTGTTATAGGTACTTCAAGATTATTAAAGCTTTAATGTTTAGCAAGGAAAACCTGCACTTAACACAAAGTACACAATTACTCCCTTTTCTAGACCCTGACTTAGAAATGTTTTCTCTAAGATTAGAGAGCAGTGTTCCACCCAGTGACAAATCACTCAGTGACCTGTCCCTATTACTAGATGCTCTGCAGTGTGTAATGAAAACACATTGATTACAAGAGGCACAACTGTTTCAAAGCAAGTCTTGAGAAAGTTTTCATCAATTGTTAAGAGAAAGGCTAATCTGATTTCCATGAAGGGAAAAAGCCAGCCAAGATGTTCAACAGTGATCTCTGAGGCATCTGTCATCTTAACCTAAAATTACATGTAAATACATAGCAAGGCAAGAACTCCAAGGTACCCAAATGCTATTACCTGAACTGGCCTACTTCAATGTACTCAAATTGCTTCAGCACAAATCCGATGAATACCTACAAGCAAGAAAAGTTGCACGTCAGTAACAGGATTAAAATGTAAAAGCCAGGTTTATTTTCTTCCTGCTTATTTGTGTAAATTTCATTAAGCTCCTACACTGCAGTTAACTTGTTTATAATCAAGTTTTCCCATCTGCTCTGCAGTGAGATGACTGCAGATACCTCTAGACATGTCTTCAGGATCACACTAAGGCAGACATGTCAGTGCAGGCCTGTAACAGAAGCCCCAGGGAGGGTGAGGCAGGCAGAGGAAAAGACTGAGGTCAGCCTGGACTACATGGTAAGACTCTTCACAAACAAAGCGACTAAATACTGCAATGAGACCTCACTGGGAAAACAAATAATAAATTCCAGGGGTACCAGTCACCTTTTGTAATCACATTTGGAGAACTCTGTATCCAGGGAGTTGGTTCCTATAGCAGGCAACACCTAGATATTTGTCCCTGACACTCAGGAGAGTCAGGTGAAAAGGGACAGTCCTAGGAGCAGAGAGAATACCAGGGCTGGAGAGTTAACCTATGTCACTCATCCTCTATGTAGCCTTCTGTGGACTTCGTCACCCCGACAGAAGCTCCCACAGATGAACCCCAGAGCTTATCCCCACTGCTTCTCAGGGCTAGAGTGCAACACAGACAATCAACAGACGCTTGGTGAGTCAGTATGTGTACTGAGTTTGTCTGCCTCAGCCTTTTTTGTCTGCTTTTGCCCCTAAAGTGGGTCCTAAACAAAGGAAAAGGGACCCACTGACAAAAGTCACTGGAACAAATAGGAGGCTAGACTGCTTGCTCAGGGTAAGAAAGCAGACCTCCACCAAGTGGAAAGGGTGGAACAGTTTTGCTGATATGAGGCTGAATGGCCCAGAGTGAAGCACTCACTAGGGTAAAGTCAGCATCTGTGCAGACACACGCACAGCACACAGGACTCTGGAAGCTGAGCACCAATGGTCAGTATCAGGTAGCGGTTTAGGAAGAGCAAAGGGAGAAAAATAAAAAAATCAAATCACCATTCTGATTTAGGTAGAATAAAATGACTATATAGTTATCTAATGACTATATAATTATCAAATGTACCTGGCCCATCTACTGCTGAGTTATTTTTTTCTATGATGTAAGTTTCTACCTCTGCTGAGCTGGGAGTGCAGAAACAGGAAGGCAGACCACAGTCTTAGATGTGTTCTTCCTAGAATGCATCTACCTGAGTCCTAGAGGCTTTATTCCTATGCTCCTGACACAGCCCGGCCTGCTTCCTCCTCAGCTGTGACCCAGAGCTGCAGACCAGGCTTCTTCTGTACAGGCTTCAGGGCAAGGGGTATGAAGGAAGTTCCCCAACTGACAAATCCGAAAAGAACTCAGACTCCTTAGCTCCTAACAGCCTTTGAAAGAAGGCTAAAAAGGTCATTTCCCATATGGAGATGGTCCTACAGATGCCTGGGACCCTTCTCATACAAACCTACAGCAATGGAGTCAGCATGTGAAACACCCCTGCAAACTTAGGCAGACAAAAACCCAGCTCAGAACTGTGGAAATCAACAGCAGGCCCCAATCTTAGTCAAAGAATTATTGGCAGCTGGTTACTGCAGGTGAGGAAGAGCTGATCTTCTCGAAGGGAGAGACTCTAGATAGGCTGACTAAACCCTGGTGGATGAACCTGCACTAAGGGACATCTGGGGACACTAACTTTACATAATAGGCCTTAATACAAATGACAGAACTCCAGTGGGGGGTATAGGAGGTGCCAAAGGGGAGGGGAAGGAGTATAGGATGATTTTCTGTATGAAATACATAAAAATTTAATGTAGAAATGTTTATAAAGGTCATTTGGTCATTTCCTCATTTCAGACTGACCTTCCCAATCCCACCCTACTATGGGACATGAGCTTCTACAATGACTCTCCTTGCTTCTCCCCGGAAACAGACCCTTTAAGGTGAAGAGGGCAGAGGAGGAAATGAAGAACTGTTAGTGTTTCCCTCTCAAAAAATTGTAACTTACAGAGAGAGTAGCCCAAGAATGGTCAATCTTCAGTAGCCTAAAGGCAGTTTTATCTTAGAGAAGTACTGACATAAGTTCCCTGAAGAGAATCTGGTGGGCAAATATGATCAAGAAAAGCTTATGCCCACAGGACCTGCATAAGGAAGGTAAGGTGGATGTGAGGAGAGGGGTTCAGATCCAAGTTGTTCAGCGCCATGTGGTCCAGGGGCAAGGGCCTCAGTTATGGGCCTGGCGATTATATCACTGCTTGAAATTATAGGTAAATGATAACCCATCAAAGTCAAATTAGTACTGCCCATGTGTGCACAGGTGTGGGGCCATATACTGGAGCATGGGCAACCTGGTAATGGCTACCTTCCCCTAAAGAAAGACGACAACTTCCCCTCTAGCAGACATACACTGCCAATAGCTCCTCAGCTGGGGGTGACCTCGGGAGCCCCTCGCCCATCTATGCTGGAATGTTGACTGGCAACCACAGCTCCTGTGAGTTCATGAGTGCAAACAGCATGCCGTGTCCAGAAGACAGCACCACAGCTCCCTCCTCATCCTCTGGCTCTACCTTTCTTTACAGTCCCCTCTTCTGTGATGTTCCTTACAGAGGGCAGCGTGAGGGGCTGGAAGCCCATGTCCCACTTAGGGTTAAGCACTCAACAGCCACTTATATGACCAGTTATGTGTCTCTGCAAAAAGAAGCTTCTCTGATCGAGGCAATAATCTGTTTTTAAGAAGTGTGAATTTTATATTCAGACCAAACAATGAATCTTAAGTTATACCTTACAATTTAAATTCAAACTTGTTTTGGGGTAAGGCATAGGTAGATGGATGAGAAAAATGCATGACACAGACTCGGGCAGTGTCTCTTCAGGGTAGTTTTTGTTCAGTTAGAACAGGCGTGGTAAATACGAAGTGGAATGACAAACCTGATCTGAATCCAGCAGACAGTAATTGACCCGTAACTGAACCAGCTGTGCCAGCAAATCCAAGACCCGCTTCTGCAGCTGCACAGAGGTCGTCGTGGTATACTGCTTCAGCGCCTTTATGACAAGGGGCTCAAATAAGCGAATGTGATTGTGAATAGCGTTCTACAGAAGAAAGAGAAACCACAAATTTCAATTGGAAGCTTCTGGAAACTCATCCAGAAAGCGTTGAGCTTGTTCTTCATTCCTGGCCCCGAGCACCAACGTTCCTGGGACATGGTCCACAGAATGAGCATCTCTGCTGCAGTGCCACTCACCTTATCCGCACGGCTCTTTGACGCACTTGTAAGGTTTGTCTTCAGTTGAGTAGACACTTTCTGGAGTACATCAAACCACCTGCCAAACAGGCAAAACCAGAAACAAATGGTATCTTTTAATGTGCCCTCTGTTCTCAGCTACACATTAGCTCATCAGCACATGTCAGAAGGAGAACCAGAAAGGCATTCGCTGCAGCAGTGGCAGGGGCTGGGGACACGGGACTCAAGTGAACACGCAACTGGTGCGGCACCAGTTCTGCCACCTGCAGAAGCTGCGCAGCCTGCAGTTTGCTGCCACGGGGAGCCCACTCCAGGGTCCAGTCTCTGGGAGGGCTGAGAGAGGTGACAGCCAATCAGAAGACAGGAAATTTAGGCGGTATCACTTAGCTTTCTTTGGGAAAACCCTTAAGAGGCTGAGGTGGGAGGATTGATAAGAGTCTGCACGTCTGACATCAACCTAGGCAGCATGGAGAGACCCAGCTCATAAAATGTCTAAAAAGACGGGAACACAGGTGCGATGGGCACATACGTAAATACACCACCAAGAAAAATCCCAGGATGGGAGTATTTTCCCTGCTTCCTACACTGTATAACCCTACAGCTATGAAAAGGGGATATAGCGACTCTTCTGCCATAACTACATAGAACAGCAGCTCAAATACCTGCTGATGATAATAATTTAAGAAACAACATCAAGGCTAAAATACAGCTGAGTTGGTAAAGTGCTGGCCTGGCATGTGTGAGGCCCTGGAGGGGAAGGAGGGAGGCCAGGATGTCTTTCAAGGCCAGCTGGCTGGAACTACAAAAAAGTAAAAAAAAAAAAAAAAAAAAAAGACAAATATAAATTCAAGTGACAGTCCAAGTAATATATCCCCATCCCTGACTTTTCTGTGCCCTTCAAGCACCACTAAACACTAGCACCACTGTGCCATTTTGAAGGTAGTCTCTTGCCTCACAGACCAAAAAGTGCTACCAACACATATCCTCTTACTATAAAGGAGAATGTCACTCACGAGCACTAGCAAGTAGCTGGTGCTTTCAACATGTGAGGACACTGGGTACTCCATTTCCAGTCTGAGCACGATGTGGAAGTAGGAGCTGATGTTAACAGGCAGCCAGCTCAGTTCCTCCTCTCCACTCTAGCACCTCTGGACAGCATGACACGCCCAAGCTCAGCCTCTGGCTTTGAAGGGACGGACCCTGCATTACTCATCTCTGTGTCAACGATTTCCTAAAAGGTGCTGGCTAACTTGATTTTTAGTTCTTTTCAAAAGTACCTCCTGCTTACTCTTTCATTTTTCACCAAGGACAGATTCCGACCACAGCTATTACCCTGAGGTATCGTGTTCCTGCTCCGCCTGTACCATATTCCGTAGGCTGGCATCAGCTAAGGCCTGTGTGAAGTGGGTGTACGGTGCCATGAAGCAATAGTGATACAAGCCTGGCCTCATGCTGGAAGAGCCAAGGCGCTGAGCTCGTCCTTGTGACTTGCTGGGGTTGGAAGACAGGCCATCAAACTGAGAGGCCAAGTTTGTCCCAAAGAGCGTCTTCAAAAGCTAGAATGAAAGAATTGAAGCATCAGTGCTTCCATAAATGCACAGCACGTCCCACTGGGCTGGTAGGGCTGCTTGAGGGGCCGAGCAGGCAAGCTCATGTTTCAGTTGAGCCTCAGCAACTTCAATCATGACTCAAAATTTAAACAGTGAAAAAAGGCCTGGGAGAGCTCAGCAGACAAACATTTTCCTGACATGCATAGGCCTTAAGTGCAAGTAAAAGGATTCTCATTCTCTT